TCAAATTCGGGATTCTTATTTTTATTCAACATATTTTAGTTTTCCACTTTTATTTTTTATTTATTATTATCTTATAAACGATTCGATTTTTTTTTTCTTTAAAACGTTTTTCTTTTTCTGTGATCCGATCCGCGATCCGATCCGTGATCCGATCCGCGATCCGATCCGTGATCCGGTCCGTGATCCGATCCGTGATCCGGTCCGGTCCGGTCCGATCCAGGTTTTGTCGACGCCGATTGAATGATAATGCATACAGTGAAACCTGTATTACAGTAAGCAGACACCCTTGGGACTCTTACTGGTGTCTGCTTAATACAGGGTGTCTGCTTTAATCAGGGTCTAAAATATTGTGCAATAATAGGTACTTATGAAACCTTTTGAAACAGTGTAATGTGTAAGATCAAAGACTGCTTATAGCACAGTGTCCAGTCAGTTAATGCATCAAATCTGGAATAATCATCTTAGCTTTAAAACAACATCGCAGAACAATGTTAAAGGATTCTCAGCTAGGCTTTTAAAGGTAAAAAACCCTTGAAATGTCTGCTTATTTGCAGCTTGTGTGCGACAAAATGGCTTAATATTATTGGTGTCCTGGTCCGCTTAACAGAGGTGTCTAATGAATGCAGGTTTATTTTACAGTAAATGTGGGAAGAATAATGTGGGTCCACTTAAGACAGGTTTCACTGTAAATCAAAAGGTGCATACAGCAGACAACTGTTGATGAAATGAAACATTGAAGATCGCTTTGTCTAAAAAATTGATTGACTAATGCTTATTTTTTGGAGGGGCGGAGGAGACGCAGGAGGGGCTAGGCTCGAAGAGTTGTCTATTTTACCCAAGAGTCCCTTCGGCGAGTCGTCAATACCCAATGGAATGCTGGGACTGTGGTTACATAATTGCAAACATGGCGGGCGAACCGAATATTCCTGGTTCCTTGCGAACTGAGTTCTGAGTTTTTTTTTTATCGCTGAAACTTTTTATTTTTCGGCGAAAATTTGACTTAATAGTTGTTGCAAACTAAAGCTCGTCTTTTGGAGCAGCTTAGAGGTCACTGTCCTCAGAAATTCGATGTTTTCTGCTGTCGCTCAGTCGACGAAACGGCTGGTTCGTTTCCGATATGGTTTTGTCGACATCCAAAACGTTAAAACTCTAAGAAGAGCCTGCTTTAGTAATGGAGTGAGGTCTGATGAAGGACCTTTACTTTTGTACAAGTCCTATTTAGAAAAACAATTACTGAAGCCAGACGAGTCACAGTCGAAAGTCGTTTATCAGCTGCAGGGTTTGTACGAGCGACTGAAGGATTATGATCCCCAACAGAAATCAAGTAAGTTGCACTTTGATTTAGTTTATGTAAATTGCTTGTTCCTTTTAATTTAAGTGTAAAGTCTACGTCGCTTTATATTCTACACTGTCAACTCGACTGAGGCTTGTTGATATAGTAGGACTTGCACTTGAGGATGACATGCCAGATCAGAGAAGGTAATATGGACCCAAGTTATTAGTATCTTTTCCAGTATATAGACCACCCAGTCTGTGTGGTCATTTGCAGTGGTTGTAAAGATTGTTTACCATCAACCCAAAAATTCCAGAAATTTTGGTTGGAATGTAAATAGTAAGGCAATTTTGACTCCACGGACTGGAAAATGGAACGTCTTGAAAGGTAGTCCAAAATTTCCAACCAAATTATCTGAGTGAAAAATTTGCCTACCACTTACAATTTCTCACTGCCATCTTGGATTGATGATCAGGTTGAGTCCGTCCTAGTCTCTTTTGGTAAATTGGGAGGGTTTTGAGTAAATGGTAGATAGATGTGCTCAAACTGTTGACAAACCCGTTTCTCCATTGCCATCTCCAGTTTATAGTGAATGACAAAATTGAACTCTGGGCTTCATAAATGTTTATTGGCCCACAGTAAGTACGCTTCAATTTGAGTTGAAACTGCAGATAAGCTTGAGGTTTTTCCAGGCAACATTTACACTGCTTGACAGCTGCCAAGATCCTTGGCTTGTTCGCACCTGATCCATGCAACATCGGCAATTTTGACCCCCCATCCCAGGTGTAACCCAGCCTCCCCTTCAGTTCTACTTCAACTGATCTTCTCCTTATCTCTTCATATACCTCTTTTATCAATGTCTACCCAATGCAGTCCAAAAATAGGGCTTGTGTCATTTGTGATATAATAAATCAAACATGAGAGACAGTGTTTGACCACATTTCCAAATACCGAGAAGAGAGTTGAAAATACAACGTGTAGCGGAGTATTTTTGATGAACTTTGAGTTTTTTGGAAATGTGGTCAAACACTGGCTTGAGTGTTCGATATATCTTCTCAATCGCAACTAAAACCAAGGAGGTAAAAATTGTAAAAATCTATGCTAATACATGTAATTAAGATCAGATAATTATCTAAACACCGTCACAGTCATGATTTCCTTTGTTTAAACTTGATGAATTATTAATGAGTTTGAGAAGATTAAAGATCCCTTTGACTTGTCTCAGTTTTTTTTTTCTTATTTAAAAGTCGATGCACTTCCTGCTTCAGAGTACAGGATCCCTGGATAGGAGGTTGAGACTTCAGCTCCTTTGTTATGGCAGCATCTCCTCAATCTCTGGAAACATCCTTTTGTGATACCAATACACTGTCTGATCTGATCAGATTTGAAGCATGTCTATATTTCTAGTTTGGAGCATAGGCCACTGACAAAATTCCTCCAGTTCCCTATGTCCCTAGCAAGGCATTCCATCTCTGTCCAGGTGTAGCCCTTCAGCTGGATCAGGTGCATTCTGGATCCCTTCTCCAGCTGTTACACAGAGTCCCTCTCCATCTGCTACTCTATAGGTTCCACTGGAGGGCTTGCCATTACACTATGGAAATCAGAAAGTGTTTTTTGAGTAGTTCTTGAGTCTTGATTTGATCAATGTAGATGGTTAGGGTTCATACAAAAGGCAACTATTTATAATAATTGTATTTTTATTTTCAGATAACCAACTGCCTGCACCTCAGGGGCTTTATCTCCATGGAGGAGTGGGAAGTGGAAAAACAATGTTGATGGACATCTTCTTTGACAGTATTCAGGTTCAAAACAAGAAGCGTGTTCATTTCTATTCCTTTATGCTTCAGTTGTATTCAGCTTTGAATCGTTGGAACCTGTGTTGCCTTAGTGATGAATTAACCTATGATTTAACTCCAGTGGAGTCCATTGCCTCTGAGCTGGCTGGGGAGGCTTGGTTGCTCTGCTTTGATGAGATGCAGTTGGCAGACTTTGCCTCCACTCGTCTCCTGGAAGGAGTGTTCCGTAAAATGTTGGAAAATGGCACAGTCATTGTAACAACATCTAACAGGTAAGCAATGAGTTTAAAGACATTTTGTTGTGTATATTGTGCATCAAAATAGATAAAAAAAATTAGATATACAAATCAACAAATAAATAAAGGGGAAAACATTGACAGGGGAAGTTAAGAGGGGGAAGGTTAATGGAGATTACTCTCCAAATCTAAAATCAAATTAAAGTTTTGTGGTTGTGTTTTGTTCATAACAGTTACTGCAATTGAATCGAATGGTAGGTAATGGCCATCACCAACTCCCTGACGTTTTCTATTTCTTTTACTTTATTTTCTAAGTTCTAAATATTCAGCTAGTATTACATGTAAATAAATCAAAATTGTCTGATGCTGAATTTAGTCCTTCAATCCAACATTGTAGGGGAAAAATATACACTTTTGAAACAAAGAATGTATTCTTACTGATGAATTGATTTACTGCTTGGAAACTCCCTGTCAGCATACAACAAAGTTCATTGTTCTCTGTTTTGTTTTCAGATCCCCAAGTGAACTTGGAACATCATCATTTGGACGTGAAACAGAAGCTTTAGATTCTGTGACATCCCTTGTAGGTTTGCTAACAAAGCATTGCGAGCTGGCTGCAATGGATTCAGAAAAAGATTACAGAGTGTACCAAAAACGTGGAACACAAAGTTATTTTAGCCCTCTCACTCCCCAGACAGAAAAAGAATTTGACGCAGCATTTTGCCAGGCAGTTGGGCGTGGCCTTCGACTTTCGTCAGTTTCTCTTCCAGTCTATGGTCGGAGAGTGATTGTCCCTGTTGCTTCGGAGAATGGCGTAGCCAGATTCTCTTTCAATGAGCTGTGCAAGTCACCGCTGGGGCCAGCTGACTACATCACAATCTGTAATGCCTTCCACACAGTTTTTCTGGAAGACATCCCGCAAATGAACATTTACCAAAAGAATGAAGCCCGGCGCTTTTTGAGTTTTGTGGATGCTGCCTATGAGAGTAAAGTGAAGGTATTTTGCACTGCAGGCAGCTCTCCAGATGAGTTGTTCCAACTGATTCCAAGTAATGATCTTCTCGAAGACAAGATGCACGTTGAAATGATTGGAGAACTGGCTTATGATCTTCAGCTGACACAACTCGATTTAAACTCACTTGGAATCTTAACTGGTGAGGAGGAAATCTTCTCCTTCAAGCGTTGCATCTCACGCCTGAAAGAAATGCAGAGCGAACTGTATCAGATGCAGAAGCATCGCCGTCAAACTTTCTCTCCCTACTTAGGTTCGTTTGAGGAACGTTTGCAATCAGAAAATCGGCGTCGGGAACGTGAGCACAAGAGACGTCTGAAAATCCTTGATGAAGCCTCGGAACTAGAAGACAGTGGCGCTCCTCGGGAATTACCACTGACACCACTCACAGGTGGCTCCTCAGACTGGGCAGACGAGGCAAGCTACATCTCATGGAGTAATGACATCATGAGGAAGGAAATGCAAGATTTGGAAAGGAAGAGAAAAGGAGATTTGTTGAAGAAACACGATGCGCCGAAATTCAGTGAAGAGCACTTCTGGGGTTTTGGCTGGTGGGAAAAGGTTATGGGAAGAAGGAGGAGTAAAGTCAAAGAAAGCAATGAACACAATGACCAACCAAAGTAATAGAAATATATCATTCAAGTCTTTCCAGCGCCACACCACAAGTACCCACATTCCCATTTCACAACTTAGCTTTGTTTACAATTACAGCCATCCACACAATCAAAATGTGATTTGTTAAATTCTCTGACCCACTTTGGCTGCCCTCAAACCCCATTAGTCCATACTAACTTTTTTAAACCAAAAAAGTTGTAACCTCAGTCAGCATCTCTGAGAGATTGCAAACCACACACCTTTTACTATATCACCAAGTTAAATTTGCAACGTTATTTTTTATTAATTATTGGCAACAAAAATTTTATTGAATGGGCTTTTTTCTATAAATGTCTGAAATGTGGATAGAGGTAATGCTAAATGTTGCTTTTATGAAAAATTTTAGGATAGGTCACTAAACAAAATTTTGAGATAAATACTGGTCTTGCGTTACATCTCCCTCTTATTTTGTAGGTTTTAAAAGTTGTGTGCACACAGCTAACATCTCTGGAGCACAAACGACACTCAACAGGCAAATATTTTTCTCACATGTGAATAAGTCGCACGCACAACCTACTTTATCTTGTTCTGTTTCTCGCGAACATTGCATCCTTGGAGTTATGTTTAAGAATGTTATAAATGGTTAATCTGTTTTCAGTTTTAAAACTGTCACTGTAGATCCACTATAGCCAAAAAAAGAAATTATTTTATAAAAACCAGTGAAGTACTAGGATTTTTCCTTTTACTGAAAAATCATATCTTCATCGCGTGCAGTGAAGATACTATTTTTATCTTTTACACTGTGAAGATATCATTCCTTTTTGATAACATTTTTCTTTTGTCCCTTTAACTACACTTAAATTTGTTGATGTACAATTGAAACATCTTCGGATGTTCTTCAGTTGTCTTCAGCAATCTTCGGTAATCTTCGGAAAATGTGTGGAAAATGTTCAGAAGCATTCATCTGGCCTTCAAGTTCATGACTAATTAATGAGATGATTTTAACGAGTAGTTACTGACCAACACAATGAATGTATTGGTGAATCTTTCATAGATATTTTTCTCCAGTAATATTAGTTTCAATGCAGCATGAATATAATGGTGGTCTCCTGGAGCAAAAGTCCCGGACAAACTCTTTGGGCTTAAAGGGGTGAGCCCTGGCCTACGACAATTTAAAAACATACACCTGCACAAACAGTATGCCTGCACCTAATTAAAACATAATGTTCAGATAACCAGTCAAGTGACTGAGTTTGGAGCTCTTTTATTTATATATTTTGTTTTATTTGTAGTTTGCTCAATAGTAATCTTGGTGCATAATGTGGTGGCACTGATTTAGCCTACATGGCTGCCATTCAAGGGGAAGGAGGTGAAAAACTAGAAGTGTGAAGGGTGATGGGAGGGGCACTGAAGGGAATTAGAGGGAGAAATGAAAAAACAATGGCATGCTTGCAGGCATTCCCTTCCCTCTTCCTTTGATTGTTTTGCAACAGTGATAATTTCATATTCAGTGCTATTCACTGTTTGTCATTTCAGGCAGAACTATATAACATATTTGTTCTATCATGCTTACATGTCCAATTGAAGGAGCATTCACTATCACCAATAACTATTGGGATTTCAGGTTCTTTGAAGTCTCCCAAACTGATTTCTGCACTAAAGCATGACTAGGCAATGAATTTCCCCTGCCACTTTGTCACGGATGACATATACTGGCATTCCATTAAATCACAATTGAATAATTCAGGTGCACCTCAAAGACTTGCTTGGATTAGTTTTGACTTGAGGAACAATATGCCCTTAATAATAAGGCCTTAACAATGACAGAATGTCTGTGGCCTCTATAATATACAGACCTTCCTAATGCAGACACTTAGTTCTAGCTCTTTGGTGCCCAAACCAAATAGATTCAACAATTATTTCTAGTTTATTTAACACTTAATGACTGGTCCCAAGGGGAACAGTGAATTTTGTTTCCCGAGAATCTCTATGTTTCCTGAGATAAAGTTGAGGGAAGCATTGAGATTCGAGGGAAACAAAATTCACTGTTCTCCAAGGAACCAGTCATTAAGTGATCTGTTACATAGCAAAACAAATGGGTCAAACTGGTGGAAAACAAATAATCACTTTATTGACAACTGACTTGCAATAGCGGTCAACATTTCGCTAATGCCTGAGACAAGTGCCTTTTTTACAAGACATTTTTATGAACATTGCAATCAAATACATTGCCTACTACACAATACTAAGCTCTAATTTTAGATGTTCAGCACTTTCTAATGGCCAACCAATACATAAGTTACAAGTCTTACAACATTACATCTTTTATGGTGCACTGTTATTAACATTGCAATCCAATAAATTGTCTACCATGCAATACTAACGAGACAAGTGTATTTTATTTTATTCAGCTTGGCAGGTAACTAAGTTTGATCATGTATATCTTGTGTGACTTGTAGTCTTGTGTGACAAATTAATAATGGAATGGGCAATATCAACAATTTCAGTGGTATTTTGCACATTAACAAAAAACCACCTCCATAGATAAACATTCATTACGCCGAACATTAATCCCCCATTGATTTCTTTAAAAAATTGGCAAGTTTGGAGTTCCATAATTCGTGGTCCATTTGTTCTAAAAATGTATGCTGGAAACTTCGGAGAGACTAAAACTTACGGAAGTGCAGTGGCAATTTCATAGTCAATGTTATACTATGCAAAGCTTCAGTATTTTATTCGGGTTAATTTTTCAATAAAATTGGGGTTAGCGAGGGTTAGTGTTAAGGTTAGGGTTAGGGCTGTGAGTCACCTTTGCTCGTCGCCTGTGAGGTGCCAGGACTGTTATTAAAATCAGTGATGATTCTTTCAATAAATGGTCAGACTTTCAACAAACGTTAACTATAAAGGCTAACAAAGAGACCAAAATCATTTTGGATTGGACTGGATCACGGATCGGATCACGGACCGGATCAAGGAAAAAAATTCAAAATTCAAGATTCAAAATTCAAAATTTTGTTCAGCAAATTACTAGAGTGACTACTGTGAGCAGAATGTTTTATTTAATTCAGTTGTGATATTCCTTTATTCTTTTATAATATCAAGCCAACTGGGAGCTGGTCACAGATGAATTTTTTTCAGGCTGTTAGGTTTT